GAGGCTAATACAAGGGTTTCACAAAAGTTCAATTATACATGTGAGAACCAAGATCAATGAAAGTTAAATATCAGAGAGGCCATTAGGAGTAGAATCAGGAATAGCATTTAAATCTTCATAAGCTTTCATATGTTGTCTGCTCCCTTGTTATGCTTCCTGCCTTTAGAAAAGGCTTCTCCAGAAAGAGTAGGTGGGAAAAGTTTGTAATGCTACCAGACATTGCTTGAGTGCTTCTGACTTTACTTGTCTCCAATTGAATTTGGGAATTTATGACAATCACTTCCTATGAATAAAGTGACTCAGAATGGTTGATATAGTAGAACCCAAAAGAAAAAAAAATTGTTTTAAATTTTGATTATCTTACCTCTGTTCGATGCTATCTTTATTCTTCTCATCTTCCCTTTTATCTTTCATTATCCCTTCTGTTCCTCTTTGCTCACCCTGAGTTGGGTTTCTTTCGCGAGAAAAAGAATCTTAGCTACATGTAAGCTAGGCTGCGTGTAAGCATGATTAGTTTAATAATGTTTTCTTCAAAGTCATAAGCATTTTACTGCCAACAGGAAAGAGTTTTGAATGGCCGGGCAAATGCTTTTGAATTATTTAGAATTTTCTGCTTTTAAAGTAGAGCATCAGGTGTCAAGATTAGAAAAAGAAAGATCAATAAATAATGATCACGGTTTGTCAATAAGAGGAGAGAGTAAACAACAGAATAATTTAGTTCTTTTCACCATCAGCTTATCTTATTCAAAGATTTCCTGGCTGAAGAAGGTCTTACTAGGTTCTTTGTTATAGTGCAGATAAAATGACATATTGGATTATTCACACCAGTGCTGAAAATTGATTTTATTTCTCCTACTTGCTGAATTCCAAACTAATGAGATTTGACTGTTATACAACTGTGACTGTTGTCATGTAGCCTTACAATTCCAGTGGTAGACTCTTATGAAAAACCAATTGGTATACTGTCCTTTAATTTAGTATTTGACACATTTTTCTTTCTCTACTCACTTTTCTTTAACCTTCTTCAATTGTGTTCTCTTTCTTTATCAATAGTATACCAAATAAGTAACAAAGGTATTTACCCATAAGATATAAAAGTGGGGCATTGAATATTGATATTACAAATATAATAGTATGAATGCTTTCCTTCTGAAGGATTCAAAAGTATTAGTCACTTTCTATTTCAAATTGAGTAAAATTAACAAAGTACAATTCCCCTTCTAATATTTTGTGGGGTTGATGGACATGCCTACTTAAATGCAAAAATTCACGACTCCTAGAACAATGACTAGCAGTGTCAGAGAGATTTGGGATGCTCTAAGCAAAAGTTTCTTTGTGGCATTTGGATCCTTTATTAATTACAGATTCGTCAGATCTCCAGTTTGCTTGCCAATTTCTCTCCTTGTCATTTTACAGCTTGTTTTGGATAGCAGTTGTGCGTTTTCTCTTTGCAGACCATAGCTATGTGGATAGTTTGCTTTCGTCATATGACGTGGCTTGCTGACCTTTAATAGAATAGAGGTTTGACTAAATAAAGAATGCTCCACAATGTCATAAAATCCTCAAAGGCCAGAACTGTGTTTTGAGTTTTTTGAATACATATAGCCTGTCTAGTACATGGTCCCTGTAATGTGTAGATGGGCATCACGGTTGACAATTCTGATATATGAGGGGAAGTTGCAGAGAGCGTATGGTCCTCTGTGACTTGAGGGCTAATTCTGGGCTTGTGGGACTCCTGAGTCTTATGAGACTATTCCAAGGTAATTATGTATTTAACAAAAAGCATTTTAAAACTTAGTTTCTTAGACTATCTGATTATTTTCATTCAAGAAAGTTATATTTATGATTTGCATAAACAATGCAAAACAAAATACAGGCTATGACTCACAGGAAAGGTGTTTTAAATAATGCCTAAAACAGTCCTAAAGAAATATTTATCTAATTGAAATGGATTTGAAATATAATATACAAGAAAACAAGAAAGGATCAGTCTTTTTAGTCAGTAAATGTCATCTTTATTGGTTGATGTTTCCATCTGTAGCTGTTGGACAAGGTTCACTCTTTGAAGGAAATTCACCTACAGTGATGTGTAAATTCCATTTACTGGTGAGAAAAATGTAACTGTTAGATGCTGTAAAGAAGCAATCTTTAAGTGTTTCTATAGAAAAATCATCTTTAAATACATTTTAGCATTTTCTGGAAGCATGTTGATAAGATAAAAAGAACATCATAATTTATATACACAAATGTAGAGGATAGTTAGCATAGACTCTACATCTGGGGTAATAAAACTCAAGATTATCTAGTTCAACCCCAATATGGTCAAGATGAGGATTCTGAGGGCCACAGTGATGACAGTTTTCTTGGTGATAGCTTAGGTAGGTAATTCAATCTTTCTTTCACTGTGTATCTTACTTGCTTTTCCATTGATTTATTTACTCCAGAATGAATAAGCTGGCTCCTTGGATACAGTGTAGCCGTGCAAGACCAGTGACATTTAATACTCCAACCAGACTTGTAAAAATTAGGGCAGGGGCCTCCCTGGTGGCGCAAGGGGTTGAGCATAGTGCTGTGAGGCTGTTTGCGGCCTTTGAGGCGCGAGTTTGATTCCTGGCTGGCTGGGGAACAACCCACATGGGGCAGCAGACCTCTCCTGTCTCACCTGCTGCTCCCCTCTGCAGTGTATTTCGGTGCATCTGCCTGTTCTGCTCCCTGCTCTCCCTGGTGAATATTTTCACCGCCCCCACCCCTGCGACTCTGGCCTGTACCCCACTTCTTAAAAAATATTAGGGCAGGTGCCTCTTCGGTGGTGCAGCGGGTTGGAAGCTATCCGCAGCCTCCACAGTGCAGGTTCGATTCCCGCCTGCCAGCAAGAGTCCCACATGGCGTGACAGACCTCTCATGTCTCACCCGCTGCTCCCCTCAGCAGTGTACTTCAGTCTATCTGCCTGTTCTGCTCCCCACACTGTCTCTGGTGAGTCCTCTCACCCTCCCACGACTCCGGTCTGTACCCCAGCTCTTGTATAAATAAAAATAAATCTTTAAAAAAAATTAGGGCAGCAAGAGCTAATTCACCCTGAATCAGTTGCCCATTGATGATTAAAATATTACAGCTGCCAGTAATTTCTCTCTAGTGATCTTTCAGGTGCCAAGCCAGTTATCACAATGCAAAAAATCCAGATAGGTGAGTGATGGCTGACCACACCTATAAGGTAGACTAATTTAACTTTAAATGTTTAACTTATTCAGTGCCCTAAAAGGCTTCTCTCACAGGCCATGGAATCTCAGTCCAAAGCTTTTAGGGCATCAGGGAGTCATGCTGTACAACTCTTTATCAATGTCATTGTCTCCCCATAGACTGCAGCCTCCACTAACACAAGGACTGTATCTATTTCATTTTTTTAAATATCTCCAGCATTTGCATTATACCATGAAAATAATGGACATGAAACTAATTGTTAAATGAAGAAATATATAATATGACTGATGTTAAATTATGATAACATTTGTTATATGTTATCTGGATAAGATATTTATTTCACAATTTTTTATCAATCTCGAGCACATTCTAAAGTCACAATTCAGGGTAATTTGCACTGTCCTTTTCAGGTCATTAGCTATGTGGGCATTAATAATGCCCTAGATTTGGTATCTGGAAATTTTAACTTTATAATGACCCAAAGACAATCATCTTTAATATGCTTCGTGGAAAAAGCAGGTCAATCAGAGAGGTAATTGGGGTGTGGCATGAAATCAGGTTAAATATGTGAGGTGAAGAAAAAGGACAGCAGGTTCATTTTTTAAAATTGGTTTTCTTTCCTGTTGAAGATGATCAGAGCTCATTTTTCTTCTTTTTTTTGGGGGGGGAGGGTGGTGGGTCACAGCTTTCTCCTTCACCTCTTAATATACTCTTTCTCACAGTAGATAGCTGAAAAAAGGGAATGTCTTCACTTGTCCTAGCCAGATGAATCCTACTAATTTTGTTTCTCTTTTAAAGCCATAGCCGTTGAGTAATCTTCATCCGTTTAAACTTTTCAGTGTTTAGTCCTTTAAATATCATCATAGGTCACATTCTACTTTTTTTCTTATAAGTTTTTCCATTTCTCTTGTGATGTTTTCCTTTCTCAAATGATCTTTTTATTAAATGCAGTCATGTAGCAATTCCTGTTTCTTGTCATATTAGATTTAGTTCCTTAAATTATTTGGCCACAACCAATTCTAGTTCTGGAAATGTTTAGAAGGATTTAATATTCCTTAAAATGGATTTCACTGGAGTTTGTAGCCCACTCAGTAGCATCATATTTGAAAGGAATAAAAAAAAATCTCTTTATCGTATTCCCAGATCTCAAGATATATTGGCATTAGTTTAATTGTAATTCTCTTCATCTGGTGCTTAGAAGCTAAGTTTTCAACTATCTATTAATTATTACATACTAGAAGAATAATTCAAAAGAATGCTCTGAACAAGTGAAAAATTTTGGATTTTTTATTTTAGCCTCCTTAAACTTTCAAAAGAATCTGAAATGCAAAAGCTCTAAGAATCAGTTAAATAAAGGTAAAACCACAAGGTTATATTAAGAAAATGTTTGGGAGACGATTGTATTTAGAACTTATATTAAGATTTGTTTTTAAATTGAATGTGAAATGGCAAACCAAAGCAAAATATGATGAATAAAAAAAATTGCTCTTATCAGGTAAAAGGAAAAAGAAACCCCAAAAATTTGTTTAATCAGGGGAGATGGATTTTTGATCTGGCTCTAAATTATTGCCTAAGTCAAGGAATATTAAACATTTTTTGGATGATATATTTATAATTTAAAAGGTGCAGAGATAGTCTTCATTTGTTGTATCACTGATCAATAAAAATCAAGGACATGATATTAAATTCCACGTTGAATGTATATTGAGAGAGAAGAGGACTGACATTTAATAAGAGTTGTAGCAGACAATGTTCATTACCTATCAATGTCAGTTTTTTTTGTTTTTTTTTTTTTTAAAAGAATCCAAGACATGGTGCCCAGATGAAAAAGTAGATCATTCCTGTCTGCTCTGGTGTTTGGAATACTCGTGTGACTATGTTCTGGTGAATGGGAGGTAAGTGGAAGTTACTTCTGGGAAGGTTCCCTAGAAGAGAGGGGTGAATTCTTCCTTCAGTGTGCTCAGCTGCCATCTCGACCATGAGGAGACTGAGCATTGAAGACAAGAGGTGTCTTGAGCCCCAAAGAGTTTGGGAGCTATCATACCAGCCCTGTATTGCTTACCCTGGACTTCTTCTCTGTAGGAGAATAAATCCTTATCTGTTTAATCCTCTAGAGTTGGGTCATTTTTGCTAGCAGTCAAATGAAATCACTAATTCATACATTTGCCCTTATTGTGCAGTTGCTTTTCAAGTGTTATGTTTAAATTGTTTCAACTCCATTTGAGTCATATGTTACTGATTTTGATCATTGAGGATCTACTGAGGTCACAGAATATTTAGGGGAGGTTGCATTTGAATGTAACTCAGGAACATAAGTTTTAAAGCACTAAAGTTTCCACACAATTGTGATCTGACCTTAAGGCTTGCTACAGGAGCTGAGCTTCAAGAATCTGGCCTCTCCTCAAGCTTTCCTGTTTTGATGTCAATTGTCATGGTTTTTTTGGCATTGCCAAGAGGAAGAATGGAAAGAGCTTCCTTTGAATACAATCAGAACTTAAAGGTAGACTCCATATATTTTGGGACCTGTGTTTTGGGAACAAAACAATTAAAAGAGAAACTTTCAAAAGGAAGGGGAAATGGAAGGCACCAGAGTTAGTAGCAATGCATTGATATCCTCTCTTAAGCTCTACAATAAGTCGCAGAGAGTCTGTATTTTATTTTGTGAAGTGAAGTGGCATTGTTTATATACATGCCTTCCTTCTCCACCTCTGAAAAAGTTGTATTGCCTGGTAGACTTTTTATAAAAAGGCATGATAGAAGACAAGGGGTGGTGATAACACATTGACTATTAAAGAGCTGTTTTCCAACTAGAGAAATACTTGAGTCATAGATGTCCTTTTCTCCCACAATCCTCAGCCCTCAGTGGTTTCTTTTATACCTCAGGAGCACTTACCTACCTTGTTGAAAAAATCTCCCACTGACCTCTCTCTGCTGGATTCTGGCCTACAGCGGGCTGTTGGGGTACACCTGCACTAGAGTTCCCCCTTCCCAACATAAATCAAAATCTCTGATTATGAGTCAGTCCCTTTCCTGACACATCTCTGATAAGCCCCACTACTTTGGGCTATGATGCAAACTCCTTGGCCAATCATCTTGTCCTTTAATTCTCCATTTTCATTTTTTTTTAGCTTCATCCCCAGATTCTAATGTTCATCTCTTTGTCGGTCACATTGAGCTTCCTATTCTGCAGCATTCTCTCTCACAGCCGGACAATTTCAGGCTAACTAGTTCTGACAATATACCGCTAGCACCAGGCTATTTTTGAATTTAACTTACGTTGCTCATTTATAATGTTTCTGAGTCCCACATCCCAGAGGTCTTGCCTTTGCTGTAAAGGTGCCACCATTACCTTTATTTTCCCCTTTTCTCCCATTCTGTCTAGTGATTTTAACAGAGGGCTGTGGCTTCTCGTGGTGTGAGCTTGTTTCTCCTGACACTGGGTAATATTTGTAATATAAGGGTGTCACAGAACAACCTTGAGGCACTGCCTCCTATTCATTTTTTTCCCAGCTGAGTTGGCAGTATTACTCTTTTGTTATCCCCTAAAGAATTTGTTTTCTCAGTTTATAGATAGCATATATTTTCTACTTCCACCCTCCGAGCATCAGTTTCATTAAGTACCCCCTTGGACACCCCTCACCCCCTAATTTATTAATGAACTCTCTAAGCACAGTAATGGAGCAACTAAAAACTACTCTGTATTTTGCCCATTTTTTGGGCTGAGAAAAGGAGTCAATTTCAAAGGTATTCCAGTGTCCTGTTGTCCCCTCTTACCCTTCTAATTCAGGAGAGCTTAATGCTATCTTTTTGGATGTCATAACCCTCTGACATTATTTAAAATATTTGTTGAGGGAGAATGAGCCCAGATCACACATCTCTTCTCATTGCTTCTCTAATGCCACTCAATCCAAATAATTTCCAAATCTGTCTCTCTGACAATGATATAGAGTTCCAGGTGCATATCTCACAATTGGCTGGGCATTTCCACCAAGATATCCTGCTGGGATTTAAAATTTAATGTCTAAAAACAAATTCTCAAAATCTCACGCAATAAATGACCTATTCTCCAGAGGGACGGAGACTTATTGTTCCATCTTGGTCATAATTATCAGGCAATTTCATCAGCCTCTTCCTGCCTCAAAAATTACTTACAGAGGGGAAATTAAACTCATGAACTTGATAGCCAAGCACTCACAGATTGACTCTGATGTCTTTTCAACTTCATGCCCCACATTTTCCCCAATCAATCCTTCCCTATGTTCAGGCACATATTCACTGTACAGAGACTATTTCTTCATCATATTTGTTTAAGCAACACTCCTGCAGAAATGCTATCCTCTCTCTCATCAGAAAGTTGTGAAGAAGTCACTAAAAGTTCAGCCCTTTCAGTACACAGAACTGGCTTGGATCCCTGAATTACTCGCTTTTTTTCTTTTAGTGTTTATCAGTCCTTTGGTACATATTACATACATTATAGAGGATTTACTGTGACTAAAAGGGTTAAGACTGTAAAATTAATGATGAAAATGAAAACTGTTTTTAAAGAGCATGAAGAGATGTTGATAGATAATCTGAGGTGAAATGTTTAGTGCAGTGGGTCTCAAATGTGACTGACTTTCCAAACAGCTGAGTCAAATCATAAGTGCATTGGGTTATATCATCTTCATTTTATAGTTTAATTTTTAGAAAAAACTCTGTAGAAAGCAACATTTTTCTGGAATAAAAAGTCACAATACATTTACAGAATGGATTTTTTTTCCACAGGAAAATCTTGTTCACAGCAAAAAAAAGGGACAAAGGTGTTTCTTATATTAAATCTTTCAGTATCAACCCTTTGTAAAGCATATAGTGTGAAATTGAACAGCTGAGATGGTGGGATTCTAGAATTTCACTTCTGTTGAACCAACAATCCAAGAGAGAGCTTGGAAATACCTAAGAGTATAGGTGGTTTGCTCATCCATTCCATTCTGTCATACTGGTTATAAGAGGGAGTTTGGATTGCAGTCCATTTCTCTGACAAGTGCTTGTTCTGCATGAAATCTATTTTGCTGGTAAAAGTGAAAACCATATGCTGAAACACCAGATGCACATAAGGCAGAGTTGTCATTCTGTTGTGCAAATTTTAAAGCCAAAGTTGTATTCCGCCCATACAGTACAGCCTACTTCATCTAAGATGACCAGAAATGGAGCCAATTTTCTCTCTCCAAAAACAAACAAAAAAACCTTTATAAGAACAAGAGATTGTACCTATAAAATTATTACAATTTTACATATGGGTCTATATAAGAAGACTACAAATGGAGATAGAAAAAATTAATTTTTATTAGATTAAGTTTTATTAAAACAGTAGAGGTGAGGGATTAATTATTTTTAAACTAACTGGTGGTTAAAATAATGCTTATCAACAAATACCAATGTGAAAATATTCTTCCTTCTTCTCCAGCAGTGTAAGACTCAGAGTCACCTTTAATGTCTTTGGCAAAAATGTTTCCAACAACAACTTAAATTTGATGCTTTCGCTTCTTGACATCCAGTGGAAAGAATGATCTAAGGTAAATAGGGCTGAGTTTGTAACCTTCCCCATTTGCCCTCTAAATGAGAACTTTTCCCTGGGGAAGGTTTTAATATTATTGCAGGATTTGATGCTGGTTACCTGCAGGATCCGTTTTCTTTTCTCCCCTACTTCTTTCTAATCCAGGGCCCACAGGGGAATATACTGTATTTTCTTGCTCTTCTGATATCATTTAATTAACAATGGTAATATCTAATATCTTAATTCTATTATCTGATCTCTTAGAATTAATTTCTGTGCTTCCTTTGTTATTCCTATCTTGAGACATTACTATGCTGGACATGACATGAGAAGGCTGAGAAAACAGAGTGACATAGCATATCTTAAAAATCATTTCAAAGTTGGTGAATGTAAATATATAAAAACAAAAACTAACAACTAATAAATGGTCTCCATGTGATTGTGGGGAAAAAATAAAGTTGGTGAATATTTATTACTGAGAGCCTGAGATAAAGTTGTTCTATAACTGTTTCTTGGTACTCTAATAATTTTAAGATCTAAGAGCAAATAGAAGATTGCCAATTATTGCATAGCCATTAGTCCTAGTCTTAGTTTAAATTTGCTTCTTACTAAATTCCAGATTATTGCGAGAGGATTTTATGGATTTCACAGTTCTCTCCCCTTCTGGTCACTCTGACATTTGTTAAAGAGCCCAGTCACTCTCTTGTCTTTATAGTTTCTTCTGCCTGGAATATTCTACCCCTGGGTATCCACGGACTGGTTTCTTTCATCTAAATGTCAGTTATAACATTACCTCAGAGACCCTTTCTATAGTCACCTACACTTTATGCTTGTGTTTCCTATCTAGTTCCCCTATTTATTTCCGCCACATCTAAGAATATGCATTTGTTGTTTGCTTCATGCCTAACTCCAATTCCTAACTGAATGGTCTATTTTTGTTCTTGTTTACTGTTGATTTGCAGCCTGGCAGATGGAAGGTGCTTGGTAAACATTTGTTGAATGACTGAGTGACTGCAGGAACACTGGCACACCTCAGCGATATTGCAGCTTCAGTTCCAGACTACTGCATGAAAGTGAATATTACAATAAAACAAGTCACTCATTTTTTTTTATTTCCAGTGCACATAAATGCTATGTTTATGCTATATTGTAGTCAATTAAATATACAGTAGCATTATGTCTAAAAAACAATGTATACACCTTAATTGAAAAATACTTTATATTTTTTAGAAAAATGGTGATGATAGACTTGCAGGATGCAGGGTTGGCCAGACTTTCAATTTATAAAAAGCACAATATCTACAAAGCTCAATAAATGTGGGTGGCTCAGTTATGTGGGTGTAACTCTCAGAGAAGGGAAGTCTTGAATTGAGAAGACATTGAAGAGAGCGTTTTCTTCTCATTGTAGAAAGTTCACAAGTATTATAGAGCTAGAATTGTAGACAAGGATAAACACAAAAAACATTCCTGCAGTGAAGTGCAGGGGATCCTGGAGAGGTACTTAGTGGGCACATGTAAGATGTACAAGAGAAGAGTTTTATTTAGAATGTGAAATAACTTGAATAGATCCAACAGAATTTTATTTAGAGTAAGAGAATTTTATTTAGAATGTATGAAATCAACAATCAGCCAAGCCCTATACATGACTTTTGAGAATGTTCTCTCTCTAATCTTGCCCAGGCTCTTCAATGAATATTTACTTAGTTAATAAATAAAAGAAATGCAAGGGTGGAAAATATAAATCTTGGCACTCTTCCTGAAAGAGGCAAACCTGATGTCAACCAACATTATGGAGTCTGTATAGGCCAGAGGTGCGGGGAGGCTGAGAGGATTCACCAGAGACAGAGTGGGAAACAGAAGAGGCAGACTGTCTAAAATACACTGCTGAGGGGAGCAGCGGCAAGACAGTAGAGGTCTGCTTGCCATGTGGGTTGCTCCCTGGCTAGGGATCGAACTCGTGCTGCAGAGGCTGCAGATTGCTTCACAATGCTCTGTTTAACCCCCTGAGCCACTAAGGAGGCCTATATTTTACCTCACTTTCAAGCAATGAGTCATTCTTTTTCTGTTTTGTGACTAATTTCTGCCGGGGCAGAAGATGTGAGATTCCTGGGTCAGAGGTTTAAAAAAATTAGCAAAATTTTATTATTCACAGCAAAAGCTAGAGCCAGAGTGCTGTGTCCCAGAGTTGTAGAAGGCAGACCTAGATGAAAGCATATGCAGTGGGTTACATAACAGCAAGGACTCTACCACTTTCACAGTAAGCAGAGGCCTAGCTGCTCTCTGTCACAGGGGAAATGTCATCACCCCTGGTGGGGTTGCAAACCAAGCCCTGAGAAATGGTTTTGGTGAAAAGTTCTTGAACTATGTGTTCATAGTTCATAGTTGATGCACCCAACAAGAAAATGCAGAAAAGCTCAAGCACAAAAGTGAATTGCTTCTTCCAACATGTATCACTTGAGGTGTGAAGAGAGATGAATTTTGATAGACACACAGGGCAAAGAAGGGATGAAATGGTTGGATAAGTAGCGGTAAAGGCTGACACATTTTTTAAAAGAAATTGACACCAAGGAGAAAGATATCTGCATATTTGGATCCTTGTAATTCTAAATGGTATATTCTATACTCAAATTCATAGTGAGAAAATGTTTCTTTAGCAGTGTTTCAAAAATTGAATTCCTGAATAATCTATATTCAGACCATGGCATTTTCTCCAATGCTGTCAGCATATACCTTTGTCATGCCCACTTTTATAGATTCACTAAGATATAGAAAAAAACATATTTACTTCTTTCAGTATTTGGGATATGGTACTGGAATCAAAGTACTATACTATCAAAGGTACATTGCAAGTGTAAAATTTACCAAATTATTTTGCCTAATGAAGAGGTAACTTCAATTCTTTGATTTTTTTTTTTTGGCATCTGCCAACATGTATTTGTAGAATTGAATCAATTCTAAGTTTACATTGTATTGTGTTACTAATTCTACTACCATTCTTGTGAAAATGATAATAATTTCTCATTCTAAACTTTTTTTTTTGTGGGACCCTTGCCGGCGGCCTGGGAACGAACCAGTACTGCAGAGGCTGCGGGAAGCCTCGTAGCCCAGCGCTCAACCGCTGTGCCACCAGGGGAGGCCTTCATTCTAAACTTTTTAAGCCATAAATATTAAGAATTGAAAAGAAACTTAATAATCATATACTATAACACAACTCAAAAAATAAATAAATTAATACTTGTATGGGCAGTTAATTTAAGAAAAAGGAGCCAAAAGTATAAAATTGAGGAAGGAAAGTCTTTAACAAATGGTGTTAGGAAAACTGGACAGCTACATGCAAAAGAATGAAACTAGATCATGATCTCTCACTATATAGAGAAAAAAAATCTCAAAATGGATTAATCCACCTGAATATAAGAACTGAAATCATAAAATACATAGGAGAAAACATAAGAAAAACACTACATTACATTGGCTGCTGTGATGTCTTTGCAATCTTGGCTCTAAAAGCAAGAGAAACAGAAGCAAAAATGTAAACAAATGGACTTATGTCAAACCAAAAAGCTTCTACATAGAGAAAAAGTACTAGAGCCACCAGAAAGATTTCACTCCCCCAAAATTCCTTTGATTTCGTAACAACTAATCTTTTCATTGCACATATAGTTTTGTGCTTTTTACTGTCTTTCCCAGAAATTATACAGTTGGAATCATACAATAAGTAGTCTTTTAAGCTTGCTTTCTTTTGCTTAGTGATATGCACTTGTTTCCTTTTTTTCTTTTTTTTTTTAAAAAAAATTTATTTATTTATGCATAGAAGACCTGGGCTATAGGCCAGCAGTGCAGATGGTGAGAGGATTCACCAGAGTGGGGAACAGAACAGGTGGATTGACGGAAATACAATGCTGAGGGGAGCAGCAGGCAACACAGGAGACGTCTGCTGCGTCATGTGGGTCACCTCCCTGGCCAGGGATCGAACTGGTGCTGCAGTAGCTAGGGATTGCTTCATAGTTTTGACACTCAGCCCCTTGCGCCACCAGGGTGGCCCTCCTTCTTATCTTTTCATGACTTGATAGCTCATTTCTTTGTAGCGCTCAATAACATTTCATTGTCTGGATGCACCATTGTTTACTTTTCCTACTGAAAGACATTTTGTTTGCTTCCAAGTTTTGGCATTGTTAATAAAACTTCTACAGACATCCATATTCAGGCTTTCATGTGGACATAGATTTTCAATTAATTTTGTTAAATACCAAGAAGCATGATTGCTGGATTGAATGGTAAAATTGTATGTTAGTAAGATTATGTATGTACATAAGAAACTACCAAAATGTCTTCCACAGTGGTGGTACCATTTTGCAATCCTAGCAATGAGTGAGCACCAGCACTTGGTGTTATAAGTGGTCTAGATTTTGACCATTCTAATAATTGTGTACTGATATCTCATTGTTTTTAGCAATTTGCATTTTCCTAATAATATATGATGTAGAGCATTGTTTTATGTGCTTATTTGCCATCAGTAAATTTTCTTTGGTGAGGTGTCCCACTTTTTTTGCCCATTTTTAAATGGCATTGTTTTCTTTCTGTTAAGTTTTAATTCTTTGTATATTTTGATAACAGTTGTTTATCAGACATTAAGGCTCTTTATACAAAGTACTTTATTATTAGTCTATCTCCTGGGTTGTGTCCCATCAATTGATTATGATTGAGCAACTACAACCTCAACAACATCAACGATGTCAGTTGTGATCTCAAAGGAAGGAAAACTGAATTTGCCAAATTTAGAAATACCAAAATGTCTTCCAGAGTGGCTGTACCATAAAATACAAGGTAAAAAGTAGGGTAAGTGGGGAAAATGAAACAATTTAGCCTTTTAAGAAATGTCATGTTAAAATAAAATTGCTTCTCTAATGAAGCAAATGATAGTTATTTTTGTGTGTATAAGGTTTGAAAACCACAGATTTCTGTCCTGATTTAGACTGGGATCTTTAAAACTCTGACTAAGGTCTTCCCAAGTTG